TATGAGCTTGAATCTCAGGATCATTGGTTAGGGTGCGTATATCACCAGGGATGTGTAACTAGATATAGTGTAATTGTGTACCCTGGTAGGTCTAGGTACTCATACCCACTATATGTGCATTTTGCATGTTGCCTACTATTCAGGTTGAGACAACCCTATAGTCTAGTGAGGTTTATTAAGTGTGTGTGTGTATATATATATACGGACTACTAGTTACTGTTGGATTGACTAGGATGTATACGTGTATCGGATCTCTGCTTGGACTGTAGTAGAGTAGAACTTGTTTGTGGGTCTGACCCACCATTATTTTTCAGGTGTTCGTCAGGGGCAGAGGTTGTTCGTGCTGAGCGGGGATCAGTCTACTTCATTCTTCCGATACTACATAGGAGTTCCTTTATGATTCAGTTTCCTGATTTAGACAGTTATTGCTGTCATTTGTTTAGTTTAGATTTTCTAGGGGTCCACACAGTATGGATTCTCGAGTTGTATTTTGGAGGATCAGTTGTATCAGAAAAGTTTATTAATTAATGTAAATATATTCTGAGGTTTATTATTAGATTATTATTTTAGTTTCTTGTCAGCATTTTATTTATTCTTCTTTATTCTTTTGTATTCTGTGTTCGTTTATTATCGATTTTATTTTTGATATCCTCGGGTATTCAGGCGTGGGCCTGGCCAACCCGCATTCGGGAATCCGGGGGTATCACAGGTTTTGGTTAGGGTCAAGGACGAAACCAATATTTGATGCATGCTTGTGGGTTAAACTAGGAGTAACAGAGGTTAGTAGAAGCAATTAAGGTCGCCGGAATTATTAGAGACGACGGGTCAAGGTTTTGAATGGAAACTTAAAGGCAAGTTCCTATTCTAACTCTTTTTCTTAAACCTGTGTTCTGTGCATGCCTAGGTAGTCTCCAGGAATTAATTATATATTAAAATTGATTTAATATGCGTGTTTGAATTGAATCAAATCAATATGCATGCTTGTATTGAATTAAAAAAAAAAAAAATTTATTTTTGGTGTTAGTTTATGTTCTCGATTTAAACCTTGATTTCTTTGCATATAAGAGTGGTTTGATTCATGTAATTGATGCATAAATACTTCTTATAATTTGTTGGGATTGCCTGGAACCTAAAACAGAGGGTTAGAAACCTCAATAAGGGTAATCGGAGGGTCAAACAACAGCTGGAGACGAAAAAGATGGAGGCTGGGAAGAGTGGAGGCGGTTATACCCTCCAATGGAGGCGGCTCCATGATGAGCACTGAAAAGTGCGCATTTAAATCCGTTAAGCTTAAGCATTCTAGTACATTTATCTATCTTACTTTGCCGTTTTAGACTTATTACGTGTTATTTATATTTTCAGGCACTAATCTCAAAATTTAGCTAACTCAGCCAAATAAGAGCTTAATTAAAGCAATCCTGAGATAAACCAAAGGAGGGAGCAAAGTGGAGAAAGAAAGGAGCAAAAAGGAATCAAGTTGTGCAGCTGAAAAGTTCGATCGATCCAACTTAGAGTTCGATCGATCGAACATCTATGATCGATCACAGTACTTCTCGATAGATCCAACCTTGGCCTTTGTTGAAATTCCAAGTTCGATCGATCGAACATCACCTTCGATCGATCGAACCCTATTTTGTCCTATTCAAATGATTGATCTTATCCATAACTGTACGCCTACTAACCACTTTTGTCTTTTTCCCCATAAATATCTTGAAAATATCCCAGCCTTGTCATTATCCGGAGGAGTCAGACCACTTCGATCGATCCAAGATGCAGTTCGATCGATCGAACCCATTTTCGATCGATCCAAGTTAAGGTTCGATCGATCGAACTTCCTCCAGCGAGAAAAAAGTTAAAGTCCATCTCATTTATTCCGTCCTTCATCCAATCATTGGAGAATATGCCTTGCACGACCACAGCTCATCATGGGGTGTATTTGACCTACCTATATAAGGAATATGATACACTTTTTGAGGGAGTCTCTTGTCACACATTGAAAATTGATCTTAGAGGCTCTTCTTGGAGAGGAGGAAGGAGGGAAGCTAGAGCACCATTAGAGGAGATCTTCACCAACAAGGAGTAGCCATGGAGTTAGCCCTTGAGGGTTGGATCATCACTACCATGAGTGGCTAGACATCTTCTTGGGGCTAGAGTTAGCCCCAAGCATGCTTTCTATACTCTAATCTTGTGTATTATTGAGGGATTAGTGTTGTATGATACATCTTGATATTCATGTATATATAAATCTTGATTATTTCATGGTTTGTATGGTTTAATGCTTCCAATTGACTATTCTATTCTATCCATATGTCTATGTATGCTAGAGTAGGATATTCATGTGTTTATCCCTAGATTTAGTGTTTTTGATGCATGTCTATGTGTATTGATGCTATAGATCTAGAGATTATCAAGATGATATGCTTAATGGATGTTATTTTGGTTCATTTGATGGTTTATGCCTATTCTTGATGGTTTGTGCCTCTCCCCTAGTCTAGATAGCTTTATTTTCATGCTAGTAGTGTAGATTTAGTGTAGTGGCAGTGTAATGTTAGATGGGAGGACAATCTACTCTTGATATTTGATTTTTCATGCTTGTGAGTCCAAATGGCATATTCCTCTAATATTGTGTTGTATGTGGATTGTGAGCTTAATGAAGGATTAATGATTTGTTTTGATCTATTGTGCTATCCCCATGTTGTCTAGACAATATATGCTCTATTGTTTAGATATATTGTGCTCTTCACATGATGTTTAGACAATACTTGCTTGATTTGTCATCCTTGCTAATTGAATCAACCTAATGCACACACACCCTTATCATATTGCAACACATCCATTACTTTCAATTGATTACTTGTTAGTAGTATAGAAAAGTATTGCTTGGTGGTGATCTCTACACCCCAAGACCTCTCTCTCTTTTGTTTACTTCATATTATTTTATTTAGTTGAATTCAATTTAGCTTATTCAACCAACCAATCAATTGTGTGATCACTCGACCTACTAACCCTAATTATCATAGTTTCACAATTCGATACACCATCAAATCCCTTGGGACGATCCCTACTCGCCCTATCTATATTTTATATAGAGAAAGGTAGTAGTGGCTTTCTATAAATGTAAAACTTGGCCACCTCCTAAATTCACAACTCTTCAAGCTTGACTTGGTATCGCGACCCTTGTAAAGGACCGGTCACTCCACACTTTATTGGAGCCGGCTCCAATGCTGATTTTTAATTTTTATTATTTTCAGCGGGTTGTTTTGCTACTGTAAGTTGGTTTTGAAATTTCAGATACAGTTGGGAGCTGTTGGGGGGTTTTAAGTGATGTCTAAATCTCTAATAAAACTCCGGAGGGCAATTTAATGCCTATTTAATCACATTGAACTAAGGGCTTGAACAGTATGAACTTTGAATTAAATTTGCATATTGTGGTTAGATGTGGATGATTCAAGTTGTTATTTGTATATTAGCAACTTGTCTAGGTATGATATAGTTTTATCATGTAAATGGGATGTTAAATAAGCATGTTAATTTATTTAATTCTACTGTGCTTATTATGGATTGATTGCTGTTTACTTATATTATCAGTACTGTCAATCATTGGGTTTTGCAGAAAAAGATCAGATAAGCATGTTAGTTTATATTGTTTCTATCATGCTTAGTGTGGAACAATTGATGTTTACATTCATTAATTGTATTATCATCTATCGGATTTATGGATTGTATACACCATAGGATTTATGGATTGTATGCACCGGTATGGGACGGTGGCATACTGGGGGGTAGATTAGTTCAAAACACTAAGTCCTACCTACTCTAAAATAAGTTGGATTAACTATAAAAGTTAAGTCCTACTTATATATATGTATATGCATCGGTATGGAACGGTGGCATATTAGGGATGACTTAGTTCAAAACACTAAGACCTACCTATTCTGGGGACGGATTAGTTCAAAACACTATGTCCTACCTATTATGAAATAAGATGGATTAACTACAAAAGTTAAGTCCTACTTATAACTGTATGTCAGGTCAATAAACCTTTTGAATGACATACCTTGGAAGGATTATATATATATATATATATATATATATATATATATATATCATTATGGTACCGTGGTATGAGTTTGAGTCTCAAGATCACAATTAGGGTGCGTATATCGCCTAGGATGGATAACTGGACATAGGTGTTGTTCCCTAGTAGGTCTAGGTACACATGACCATGTTATGTGCGATTTGCATGGTATCTCTACTCAGGCTGAGACAGACCTATTGGACCAATGAGCGTCCTATAGTGTGTATTTATACATATATGGACTATTTTAGTTATTGTTGAGCTATCTAGGATGTATTTGCGTATCTGGTTTCTGTGTGGATCGTAGTAAGATAAGACTTGCATGTGGGCCTGACCCACTCTCTTATTTTTTAGGTGTTCGTCAGTTCTAGGGTTAGAGTTTTATCATGCAGAGAAGATACAGTGACTCACTCCTCCGACTACGTAGGACTACTTTCTCTATTTAGCATTGGATTTTATTACAGTTATTTCCTTTCCAGTTTGCGATTTTATTAGGGGTCCACTAGGTGAATTCCCGAGTTGTTAATTAATAGAGAGTTTGGATTTTATTAAATTATAACTTTTGAGGTTTTTATAATTAGAATTCTTTTCAGCTTATTATTTTATTTTTTAATTCATTTTGTATTTTGTGCTTATGTACATATTAATTATTTGGTATCCCTCGGATCTGTGCTCGGACTTGATCACCCGTGGCTCTAGAATCGAGGGGTATCACAGATTCCCTCGACTAGCATCAAAACTACAACCCTCTATTGGGGCTGAACAAGACTGTGATTGAATGAGAGAAAGAGCTACCTTATAAACACTCAAAACAGAAAAAAATGCCGTCGAGGGAGGCACCCCAAGCCTTGAGATCAACTCCTCCAGTGACACTAAGGGGAATTTGAGCAATGAGATTTAAATCACGAGGATTGAACAAACGATGAACCAAGGCATCATTGCATTTATGAGAAGATTGGTCAATAAGCTCGGCAATAAAAGATATCTCAGACCCCACTTGAGGAGATGTTATGGAATGGTGAGAGATGTCAGGCAACCAATTGTCATTCCAACAATTAACGCTGGAGCCATTGCCAATGCACCATATCAAGCCTTTTTTAATTACATCTCGGGTGGAAAGGATACTTTTCCAAACCCCAGAGGCATTTGATCTAGAAGGAGAATCCACAAAGATGCAATTCTTAAAATACTTCTGCTTAAAAGATTTATACAATAAGGACTAATCTCCTATCTCTATACATCAAGCTAATTTAGTGAAAAGCGCCCCAGTTGAAAGCTTTCACATTTTAAAAACCAATGCAGCCCAAATTTTGTGGTGAAGTACGTACCATTCTAGGGAAAAAATATTCACGGAAGAATTTATTACTATTTTTAATAGCAATCTAGAAGATTATTGGCAATGATTGATTTTTAAACACGTCTTTGATATGGGCTTTGGGTTTTGGCATATGAAGCACGGATATGCGAGGTAGGGGTGACGTACCAGTGTTGGACACGTGTTCGACACGGACACTCGTATCCTAGCCTCGGACACGTGTCCGACACCCTTCTACCGGTGTCATATTTTTTTATTCATTTTTTCAAGTCGGACACGCTATAAGATATGGCCGGGACATGTTAAAGGACACGGCTGGTAACACCGCAGTTTAGATTGTTGTTCGAAAGAAAGAGAGGATGAAGAGATATGTGTGTGTTTTTTGTGTGGACTGATCGAAGACAACAAACCAAAAGCTATAAAAGAATCGAGTGGATGAGAGAGAAACTGGAAGAGAGAGGGGAAATCAACAAAGAGATGATGAAGAACCTAATGATCATGCTCTGATTGGTGTGGATCAATTGAAGAAAGAATGAAAGAAGAAATCTCTTTAATTGTTTGAGTGAAAATTTGTTATCCATTTTTAGAGAATATGCAGAGGAGAAGAAAGATGGAAGATGGAAGTTCAGAGGAGTAATGCGTCTGGCTAGAGGAGAGAGAATATCAGTTAAACGTGGGAACCGAGGAGATTAGATTACAATCTTATCTCCTTTTTCAGTGTGTTTGGTTACAACAATAAAACTATTCTAGTATTGATACATATTCTAGTATTGATTATAAAGATATACTACATATTTATTGTTTGAATTTTAATAGAATTTGGATTGAACATAATTTAAATGGATCATGTATATTAATGTAAATTAAAAATTAAGAGAAATTAAAATTTTATATATAATAAAAATATATTATTATTTTATTACTGTATCCTTGCCGTGTCTGTGTTCTATTTTTTAAAAATTTATCGTATTACTGTGTCCGTGTCGTATCGTACTTGTATCTCGTATCGGTGTCCATACTTCATAGGTTTTGGCTATGTGGTACGCCGGCAAGTTCAAAATATATATCTAGGATTGTGACATGGGTTTTGACATAAAAAACAGCCTAGTGGCAACCGGAAAGTATTAGCCGCAAGTATCAAAGAAAAAATAAGTAACAAAAAACAAGAATATAAAAAAAAGATTAAGAGAGAGAGAGAGAGAGAGAGAGAAATAAAAATAAAATACAATTAATTGATCATATTTCATTCAGATTGTGACTAGTTACTAGTTTGGAATGTTAAGCATATTTTAGATTGTGACTACCACTGTACAAGCCCATCAATGTACATATGTGTTATTCTAGAACACCTAGAAATACTTTTTTTATGCTGCGGTGTCTTATAGACCACTACTTTTTTTATGGTGCGGTGTCCTAAAGATCACCTGCCGAATGAACAATGAATTGGCATTGTCATTAAGATAGATTAGATATGAATATACTTATTAATTTAGCATTTTAAATTTTAAACAATAAATCGTAACATGCATGGTTGAAAAGTCAAGCCCAATGTTGTTTAATATTTATCATCCCCGTGTTGAATTCAGAGTTTGTGTCCTACCATCTGATTCTGATTTGTTGAGTAAAAACGCCAAGACACTTAAAACTTTTCACTACCAAGAGTTTGGTTCAAGTTTTTCCTCCTCTCAACACTATATAAAAGGGATACTCCTAAGACATTGTTACATTCACTCACGACCATTACACCACACCTTCATTCATTGTAGAAATATATATACACACGCACAGCTTCTATAGCTTCTATATCTCTTTCTTTCTCTATAGCTGAGCTTTATAATCTGCACTGTAAACACAATCCATTGTCACTGCTATGGAAGCTATCTCCTCAATGGACACTATGATTGGGCCAAAGAGGTGAAGGATTTCGACGAAACCAAAGCCAGAGTGAAAGGACTTGTGGATGCAGGCGTGACAAAGATCCCCAAATTCTTTGTCCACCCAAAGGAGAGTTTGGAGAGCCTGCCACCGGCTAAAAACCCTAGCAACGATGCACTTGTGTTCCCCACCATCGACCTTCAAGGCATGGACAGCAACAGTGATCGAAGAAGGGAGATAGTGGATGGCATTCGTACGGCGGCCTCAGAATGGGGCTTCTTCCGCCTGGTGAATCATGGCGTCCCCATGACCACACTGGATGCCATGTTGGATGCCGTTCGCAGGTTCCATGAGCAGCCAAGAGAGGACAAGTTGGAGCTGTATTCCGCGGATAGTAGGCGTAGAGTGAGGTTCAACAGCAATGTTGCTCAACGTGAACTTGATGCTGCATGTTGGAGGGATTTGTTAACTTGTGTCTTCCATGATGATACACTCGACCCTTAAGCCATTCCTCTTGTTTGCAGGTACTTTTATATAATCTTCTTTTTCTTAACTTGCAACTCGATTGTACCACATCCTCAGCTGTAATCCCCTGCTGCTGCTGCACTGATGTCTAAAATTTTTAATATTCTGTTTTTCAACACATTAAATACGTAGATACGTAGACGTCAATGTGTTAAAAACAAATATAACGATGTTAAAAAATCAACTAAACTTAGTTTTGAAAAATATTAGGGTAAAGGTGACGCATAAATATCACTTCCACAGATAGCCAAGCAGTTCAATGCTGGACCAAGAATATGTCATAATCCAATAAGGCAGCTAGCAATTTCAATTGATGATTGTATGATGTTTCTTGTCAGTTAGGCTTGACATAAGAAGCCAATATTCTCAAACAACCAACCTAGTATCTTCCCAGTACATCTGGTCAAACTTGATGCATGACACGTAACTTCCTCTGTCTAATGTATATCTTTTATATATATACTCCTATAATTAATTTAATTAATTTTGTATGTAATTACAATATTTTGCAGAAAAGAAGTGCAAGACTATGTGAAATGCATGATACAACTGAGGGAGACTATGTGTGAGTTACTATCAGAGGCATTAGGGCTAAGCAGTGACCACCTCTCCCGCTTAGAATGCATGAAGAGTGAAGCATTGGCTTGCCTTTACTACCCAATATGCCCTCAGCCAGAGTTGACCTTGGGCACAGTCAAGCATTCTGACACCACCTTTTTAACTCTACTCCTCCAAGACACTACAGGTGGTCTCCAAATTGTTCATCAAAATCAATGGTTTGATGTCCCTCCTGTTCCTGGTGCTCTAATAGCAAACATAGGAGATCTTATGCAGGTACACATATATATAGTTTTCAATATATATATATATATTCAGTACTTGTTGAGTTGTTCATATATACAGTAATTAATATATATACCTTACAAAATTTATTTATTTGTTCAGATTATTAGCAATGACAAGTTCAAAAGTGTGGAGCACAGAGTTTTGGCTCAACCGATCGGACCGAGAGTATCAGTTGCATGTTTCTTCACTCCAAGCGGTAGGGCTGGATCTAAGGCTTTTGGACCAATAAAGGAGCTTGTAACTGTGGAGAGTCCAGCTATATATAGAGAATTCCTCTGCGGTGAATATTATCAATATTACAAGATGAAAGGAACAAATGTTACCTCTGCTCTTCCTCACTAAAAGCTATGATCCATCAAACCACAAACCCTACCCTAGCCTACAACTTATAATGTTGGTGCTGCTTAATTTAATAAATCTGTGTGCAAATTACTTCAATGCTTGTTGCAATTAATTTTGTTCATTTAGTTATGTACTAGCTTTTATCAATGTTACATGTGCAATGAAACAGTTTCATAACTTCTACCATGAGTCCTACTTTTTGGTTTCATAGCAATTGTGGGATGAATCAGACATTGTTGAATCACAAACAAGATCTGATCAATTGTTAATGCAAGGAAAAACACACACACACACACACACACCCAATAGGACACCATTTTATAGCCCAACACATAATTCCCACGGTGTTATATATTGAACCCAAATAAAGAAATAAAAAAATCCCACTTTTGTGTGTGTTGAACATTTAAAATCACTTCATACTACCTATTAGATCTTAATTATATATAAAAAAAAACTCCTGAAAACTTAAGATTACATCCAAACACACACATACATATCTATACTATTATTAAATATGCAAAGTGTTTTAGTATTTATTTATTTATATAAAAAAATATTTATTAATTGATATAAAAATTGTTTTTGTAAAAATTGTTTCTATAAAACTTAAAAAATTACTTAATAAAATCAATCACATTCTATATAAAACTCTTATTTTTAGTTATTTTTTATAGATAATTATCACAATATAACCGGCCCGGCCCAATTATGATTATGTCTTTATCAGAAAAGGACGCATGTCATCATCCTATTCATCCAAGAAGCCTATAAATAGAGGCATGGAGAAAGAAGGAAGGGGTACAGAAATTGAGAATTCTATAAATCCAGAATTCCAAAGTAAAATACAGAAGCTCTGCCAACGAGTTTCAGTATTTATTTATATAAAAAATATTTATTAATTGAGTTGAATTTCAGAGTAAAATACACTCTGTTAAGAGTTTTTAGTATTTATTTATTTATATAAAAAAATATTTATTAATTGATATAAAAAGAGTTTTTATCTATATTATTATTAGATGTGTTTAAAGAGTTTGTATAAAATTCTAACACAAATTACTAATTTATCAATTTATCATGAGTTTTTTAATAAAATGAAACCTAATTAGACAAGTATTATTAATATAAAAAATTATTTATTAACTGACACAAAAGGAGGTTTTTAAAACACAAATTACCTATTTGTTTATTTATTTTGAATTTTTTTACTAAAAGTAAATCTAATTAGACAAGAATTATTAAAATAAAAAATATTTCTTTAATTGATATAAAAAGAGTTTATATTAAACTCTAACACAAATTACCTATTTATTTATTTGTTACAAGTTTTTTAATAAAAGAAAATCTAATTTACCTAATAAAACCAATAACATTCTATAAAATTCTTATTTTTAGTTTTTTTTATTATTTATGGATAATTATAATTTTTATAAAAATCTAAAAATTACCAAATAAAATCAATCATATCCTATATAAAACTCTTATTTTTAGTTATTTTTAATGAATAATTATCACAATATAACCGGCCTGGCCTAGTTATGATTATGTCATTATCAGAAAAGGACACATGCCATTATCCTATTCATCCAAGAAACCTATAAATAGAGGCATGAAGTTTTGCCAAAGAGTTTCAGTATTTATTTATTTATATAAAAAATATTTATTAATTGATATAAAAAGAGTTGAATTCCAGAGTAAAATACAGAAGCTCTATCAAAGAGTTTGAGTATTTTAATATTTATTTATTTATATAAAAAATATTTATTAATTGATATAAAAAGAGTTTTTATGTATACTATTATTAGATGTGTAAAGAGTTTCAGTATTTATTTATTTATGTAAAAAAATATTTCTTAAATAATATGATAAAATACTAAAATCTACATAATAAAATTTAAATTAACCAATTTATCTATTTATTATTATCAATTTTTTAATAAATAAATCTAATTAGACAAGAATTATTAATCTAAAAAATATTTATTAATTGATATATAAAAGAAAATAATTTTTATATAACTCTACTATGAGTTTCTTAATAAAATTAAATCTAATTAGACAAGTATATATTTAAAGAAAATAAAATAATTTTTATAAAACTCTATTACAAATTACCTATTTTATTTTCCATAAAACTCTATCAACAGAGTTTCTATAAAACTCTAACACAAATTACCTATTTATCTATTTATTATGAGTTTTTTTAAATAAAAAGAAATCTAATTAAACAAGTATTATTAATATAAAAAATTATTTATCAACCGATACGAAAAGAGATTTGAAAAGAGTTTTTAAAAAACTCTAACACAAATTACCTATTTATTTATTTATTATTAGTTTTTTTAATGAAACTAAATGTAATTAGACAATAATTTTTAAAATAAAAATATTTATTAATTGATATAAAAAGAGTTTTTAAAAGAGTTTATATTAAACTTTAACACAAATTACCTATTTATTTATTATAAGTTTTTTCATAAAAGAAAATCTAAGTAGACAAGAATTATTAATATAAAAAAAAAATTTTAATTGATATAAAAAATAAAATAATTTTTCTAAAATTCTTCCACAAATTACCTTTTATTATGAGTTTTTTTTTTTTTTTTTTTTTTTTTTAATAAAAGCTAATCTAATTAGATAGGAATTATTAAAATATAATTTTTTTAATTAATTCATGTAAAAAGAGTTTTAAAATATTTTCTATCATACTCCAACACGTATTACAAATTACAATTTATTAATAAAAGAAAATCTAATTTTTAGAGTAAAATACAGAAGTTCTACTAAACTGTTTCAGTATTTATTTAATTATATAAAAAAATAATTTATTACTTAGTATAAAAAAGATTTTATCTATACTACTATTAAATGTGTAAAGAGTTTCAGTATTTAAGTATCTATTTATAAAAATATATATTTATTAATTGATATGAAAAGTATTTTTTTTTTTTTAATAAAAAAAAAAAACTTTATCAAACTCCAAAATCTATCTAATAAAATTTAAATTAACATATTTATCTATTTATTATTATGAATTTTTTAATAAAAGAAAATTGAATTAGACAAGAATTATTAATATAAAAAATACTTATTAATTGATATATAAAATAAAATAATTTTTCTAAAACTCTACCACAAATTAACTTTTGTTATGAGTTTCTTAATAAAATTAAATTTAATTAGAGAATGATATATTTAAAGAAAATAAAATATTACATGTGCAAAGAGTTTCAGTATTTTAGTATTTATTTTTTTATATAAAAAATATTTTTTAATTGATATGAAAAAAGTTTTTATAAAAATAAATAAATAAAAGAAAAAACAAACTCCATAAAACTCTAAAATCTACCTAATAAAATTCAAATTAACCTATTTATCTATTTATTATTATGATTTTTTTAATAAAAGTAAATCTAAAATTTCAGTTTTTATTTATTTATTTAAAAAATATTTATTAAATGTGAAAAGAGTTTCAGTATTTATTTATTTATATAAAAAATATTTATTAATTGATATGAAAAGAGTTTTTATAGAAAAAAAACTTCTATAAAATTCTAAAATCTTCCTAATAAAATTCAAATTAACCTATTTATTATTATGAATTTTTTAATAAAAGAAAACCTAATTTTCTGAGTAAAATACAGAAGTTGTGCCAAGGTGTTTAAGTATTTATTTATTTATATAAAAAAATAATTATTAATTAAAATAAAAAAGTTTTTATCTATAGTGTTATTACATGTGCAAAGAGTTTTTATAAATAAAAAAAATAAAAAAAAATGTCAATCAAACTC